AGTGACACCACCAGCGCCAAGGAGTCCGTCGCCACAACGGAGGTCCCGCACATCAGGGACACCGTCGGCGAAAGAAAGCCTCTCATAGTCCTCACCACGGTGGCACTCCCGCATACCAGGGATGCCACCGGCGACAGCGAACCCCTCGTCGTCCTCACCTTGACTGACGCCCTCGCCACCAGACAAGCCTTCCCCGTGGCAGTATGTACTTCACTTGTTGCTCCACAGTCATGGGCGTCCATAACCTCCACAGTGCCAACTCCAACGCCTTGCGCAGTTCGTCGCACAACCACTGTGCTACCTTTACGGACATGTAGTACTGCCTTCGAAAAGCTATTCGGTGCATCACGGTAATGTTGATAGAGCCTTTTTTTTAAATTTGCAAGCAGGGTGCATAGAATGCGTGGGACAATAACAGAATGTATTGTAGGGTTATGTAGCTAGCCAGCGGGGCATCTGGCTCGCCCTTGCAGGAAACTAAGAACTCAATGAGGCTACTGGTAAGATCCATTTTCCTTTTTTACCGCAACATATCGTTTCTATCGGGTTTGGACGTCGATTCATTTTCTCTACATTTCCATTGCCCTGTTAAATTTTACAATCTATTTTGGCTACCACAGAGCCAGGTGTATTACTGAATAATCGCATATCGGATATGTGTCAGTTTGAATGTATAAAGAAGACAACAAGCAGTTTGTTTTTGAAAGTGCTTTCTTTTTTATAACAATGCCGAAACGTGAAAAATAGACATGCTTGAAAACACAGGTTGTAATACTTTCTTTAAAGTTAAATTAAGCATGGACTAGTAAACACCGTATAAATTCTTTGTCATTGACTCATTATCAACGATATATCACAGACATTATTTCACACTTCACTCAATTCAGCACACTCCCGTTTCGTTTGTATTTTGTCACACATCGAAGCATGACAGATTCCTTAGTAGAGGCATGTTGAGATCAACAATTATATAAGAAAACAAACAAACAAAAAAACACAGGGACACAGAGGAAGGGAAACAGGATAAGACGCACTCTCAACTGAAGTTTATTGAAAATTCAACTTCAGTTGAGAGTGCGCCTTGTTCTGTTTCTCTTCATCTGCGTCCCTGTGTTGTTTTTTTTTTCGGCGCTTTTTTGTTTGCCATGAACCAACTGGCCCAGATCTCTACTTTATTAAGATATAAGAAAAATGGCCAACTCGGAGGCCATTTTCAGGCGGGTGGCAAGTTGTGGCTAGAGTGCAGACCTCTTGGTTCCAACTAAAGAAAACGACATGGATAAAATTCCGATGACACAAGCCACTTGACACCTTTGATGAAAAAGCACACAGTACATATTGCTGTCCCACAAACATGAGGAATGGCTAGTTTTAGGATATATCTGTCATACCTGTCGCCGAGAGAATATTACTAACTTGCTTCACTGGTTATATTGACTCCAATAAACAAACGCAGAAGGCACAGTTTTTTGTAAACAAAATATCCACTGAAAGCATGGGCAGACTTTCCCGTGATGTCAACTTTGTTGTAAAGATGTTTAGACAGCAGGACATCAGCATTCCTTTAAGCGATGGCTCACTCGTAGTATTATTCACTGCACGGCGAGCCCAGTGTGCATAGGAACTTGTCCATTAACATGCACCACATACCAGTGGCACAAAAGAACATATTTCTTGTCTCCACCTGGAGAACAAAACTGAAAAAAATACCGACTGGGCACATAGAATAATCGCCCATTAAACTAAATTATTTGTGGCTAGACCCGGCGGTATTCAGCTCGGCGGGGCTCAGCGGGGCTGGGTCGGCGGTGCTGGGCTCGGCGGTGTTGGGCTCGGCGCGGCTAGGCTTGGCGGTACTGGACTCGGCGGTGCTGGGCTCGGCGGTGCTGGGCTCGGCGGTGCTGGGCTCGGCGCGGCTGGGCTCGGCGGGGCTGGGCTGGACGAAGCGGGGCTGGACGGGGGGTGGCTGGGCAGGCCTAGGCAGGTCTTGGCTGCGCTGGGCTTGGCTGCTCTCGGCAGTCAGCAGCAGAACGACCTCGACGAGCACTCGGGTCGTGTTCTGGAATTCCAGGGCCACCACCTGTGCGGCACGGGCTTGCCCCTGGATGGCCTCTGAGACACCCTCCATGGGTGTCTCAATGGAACGCAGGAGCTGAAAAGACGGGGCACTTAATGCGCAGCACCAACATATTTCTAGACACCTAGAGGGCGTGAAAGCTTTGCATATGTCACAGTTCGGTTTGCATCATGCTTTTGTGGATCTCCATTGCCCTTTGTTGCAGCCCCACTTTCACGGTGGGACTGCAAGGCGCCGTTGGCCGGACCCGGAGCCTTGCAGGTGACCTCGCATCTGCCAAGAAACAAAGAATGCTTATGTCATGTCACACAATCCTAGTTGTCCTCATAAGAGATCTCACCCCGTGAGGTGGAGGGCACCGGCTCGGCGGCCTGCTGCCGGTGACCTGCAGGGGCACCAACGGGCCTCTCCGAGTAGGGAATTTATAAGTCTTAGTCAGCACACAGCACTTGTCTATATTTTCTAGATATTGAGAGTGGGTTTCTTGAGGGTGCATTCCACTTAGGGGAAACAAAATTAGACTGTTTCAGAGGTAGTGCCATTCATGTCAAGGATTAACTTCCCAAATATGTCTAGTGGCAGCTTGAAAGGTCGCACTTCCAATGTTATGTGAAAATGTACCTCTATGATACAGAAATGGCATCTTACGACAATGTGCATACAATACAACTGAGGGTTGCAGCAACCACAAAAACAAGAAAAAAGGACTACACGAAAACTACACTTGTAGTTTTTAGAAACTTACGTATCACTGAATTGAATCTAACTTTTTTTCATAGGTGCTTTTGTTTTAGGGTTCGCCTTTACGTGGATGAATTAATCCGCCCTTTGATTCGCTGAATTACAAAGTGCCGGAACTTTTATGGATATATTTACGTTCATATTTATCACATTTAATTGCAGTATGCATCGTAGCTCACTGATAATACCCTTCACGGATATTCTCCTCCTTATTGGGATTGAACAGCTATATGTGCAATAGTATGTTATGTTCAAGTGTGCACTCACCTCGGCCTCGTCCTCAAATGCCGGGACAGAATACCCGGGAGCGCCCAGGGCCGAGTCCTCGCCCACCAGCCTCAAAATACGCGAGTATGACGACACCAGTGAGCGCACCCGGGCGCCTCCGCCCCCTGTTTGGCTGCGGGTAAAGGAAGTAATTCAATAACTTGGTCCACACTATGAGTAGACTACGCAAATTACCTTGCCTGTTTGGCCAGCTCCGCAGCCCGCGCCTTCGACACCCGCACGTCCCAGTACCGTTCCCAACCTTCCGGCTCCTTCCTCGGAGGCCCGAGGAAGTTGAGCCGGGAGGTTAGCTCGTTCCAGAGACGAACTTTGTCGCCTCTGGAGAGCGCCGGGCTCAGCTCAGTTGCGCCGCGTACCAGAGATGCCACATCCTCCTGTTCCTTGAGCCGTCATCAGCTACAGTGATTTGAACTAGGCACTCATCCGCGTCCCGCATGTTCTTCTAACCTTTTATGCGAGTTAACTCCATCTAATATTTTCTGGAACCGCTACAAAATCAGTTGTTCATTTCAATAGAACACGTGTATTTTTTTAGTTTCACAAGTTTCTTTAAAATAGAGCCGATGTGAAGGTTGCCGCCGCAAGGGATTGGCTGCCATCACTTCACTAAAAGCAGGAAATGCTCCTCCGGTTGCCAGAGAAACGAACGCTTGCGTAGGGACTAGGTTCCAGATAGGTACCGCCGGAAAAGCGTAGGTACGGCAGGGGGACAGCGTAGTTACTTCCGCTCTTCGGGGTTGCCTCTTGACGCCTCTCAAGTGAGTGACAGACACCAATCTTGCCTTGTCGTCACGGCGTCAAAGAGGGCGGTTTCGCGGTGCGCGCCGTTGCTTGGTTACACTCCTCCTGCCGCTACGTCACATCTGTTTCTAGTTTCTAGAAAGTCGAACATAGGACCCCTGTTTTTGCTATTCTTGGGTAACTGACGCCATTCAGCTCCATCTAATCGAGAGCTCCGTCGGCCGCCATTTTCCCATTGATAATTTTATAAAATCACATAAATTTTGAATTACCGTAACGGTTAGCTCTATAACTTTGGAATATGGTTTGGTATGCTGGCGCACTGCATTTCGATGAATAATGAGCATTCAATTTATGCGCGCTTAATTTTTTTCGGTAAGTAAAACTCTGTGATTTTTTGGGAGGACACACTGTAATGTGCCCATCTATGTCATTTCATTCAAAATTGATGGATATCAAAATAAATGAATGTCAAACATCAATCTGACATGCTCATATATCATACGTAATCTTCATAAGGTATTGTGGGCACCTATGCCGAGTCTAATGCGTAATAGGGCAAGAACAAGCAAGTGTATTTTCAAAGATTGCATTGCCCTCCCAACAACGTGCTTGTATACATCTTTCTATTATTGGATAATGTGGAAGGCGTATTTCAACAGAATAAAATTGGCAGTGATCTTTATCTCCAAAGTCCTCCTGTGTTCAGCGCCGGAAGGTGTAGCCGACCAGCGAAAGCAGACGTCACGCATACGAAATTCGTCGGCAGCAAAAGCGCCGTCGTTATGCAACCGTTTTTATACTTCAAGTTTTGCTTTTATTGTCTGCATTCATTTTAAAAACAAGGGTACATTACAGAAAAATATTATGTTCACTTGAATAGACAACGGCCGCCGCGACGAATTTCGATAAGGAGGCGGCGCCAACTCTCGATACGTGCGCCAAGCGCACCGCACCACTCTTCTCGGTCGTTAATGGGCGTCACCGTCCGCCGTTGACCCTTGCAAGTTTTTTGGTCCTATTTGTTATAGAAAGAAAGCAACGCTTTGTAATTTTACAAAATCAAACCGACCTGAGAAATACACATTTGAGGAAAAGTTTCAATTACAACGTTCAAGCGCCGATGTTTACGGCATTTTTAGATCGAGCTTCGTTAATTCAGACACCATTTATTTGTCATTGGTGAACAACAACAAGCTTGGAGGCATCGATGAGTTTTAAGTTTCATGATGTTTGTAGCATTCTTCAAGGTAGCGAATAGAAGATCTTTTTTGGCATACTACTGTTAACTTCGAGCAGTCCGATTGTCCTATTTCTTTAAGGGGACGCCTTGTGAACTCCCAAGACTCGCAGTCACCTGCAACAAAATAAATGGGCTATGCAGTTCACGGACCGCGTTAAAGAGTACACTGACACTGAGCATCGTAGGGCTATTCTATGCAGTCCAACTATAAAGATTAGGGTATTGTCACGAATGACAAATGATGAAGCGGCGAATGACTGAGGAAACTAAATCTTTAATACGGTGAACTTGTGCCGAAAACAAAATAAAGAAAGGCTAGCGTCGCAGGCGTCGATGTCGGCGAAACAGCAGAATCGAGTGTTGGGACGAGGCTGACTCCGGACCGCCACGCGAAACACTTTTTGTACCCGCGTGGGTTTCTAGAACATTCGGCTTAGATCTTTCGGCGCGTAGAGCATTCGTAACTCGATCACACGACGAGGTTCTCGAACTCACGAGAATTTCAAGCTGAGAGAATAAACAAAAGAGGAGCCCGCTCCCTGGATTCGAACCCGGAAGCTCCGCGCGAGAGTCAAGCGCGGCAACCATTCGGCCACGCGCTCGCTCGGCAACGCGCGTGGCAATATCACTGATACATGTTACAAAACATTTTTGGGACAGAAATAAAGAGGTCGCTTTAGCTATTGGACAGGAGATCGAACTATAGGGGGAGCTTTATCGAGCTTGTTGTCCCCACAGCCCGGTGTTTAATTACTAACAGAGAATAACAAAGAATTATAACCTCGGCCGTGCACGGTCTGGACACGAGCGCTTCACTCTTACCAGTGCTTTGGTTGCACGAGGAGCGGCCATTCGAATCCTCACCATCGATATTGCTGATCGAAAACAAACAAAAAATTCGGTTTGTTGTCCCCACAGCTGAAGCGTGCCGCCAGAGGCGTGGCTGTTTGATCTCCTCCCCAATAGTGACATCGCTGAATATCACGTTTTGAGGCACACCTCAGACGCATCGTTGATCTACAATCCATATTCCCTAAATATGGAGTTCACTGCAAACGAACATGGGATACGGATATGAGTGAATGGATAACAAAACGAGCCCACATAATAGCCACGGCAGTGGTCGCACCTAAGGTCACGTGACCTTCGTCGCATCTTCTTCAACTAGGTGGTGTTCAGAAAGGCACTTAACGTTGGGGGACGCTTTCTTGGGATCTTGAGAGGTCATCCAGATTTTAGTACGTTCCCTTTCCTGTTCTCTGCTTATCAATGTTTGCTTACAGTGTTCGCGAAAGCAATAAGTGACGGACTGACGGCGAAAGGAAAATAAACAACAAAAAAAACCTCGACGTTTTGCCATAGCAGGGTTAGATATACAAGAAGCAAAACAAAAATGTCTTCTTTTTTGTGTGTGTGTTCACTTCTTATTTTCTTTTATTTGTTATGTTTTTGACACTCAAATCTCCATTGTTGTCGTAGGTCGTTGCCAGGTCTGCGCTGCGCCTTAGTGTGGCAATCTTTATTTTCGTAAAACCACCTTTTTTCAGGACTTTTGGGGGGAACTCTAGGAAACAAAAGCCGCCTTTGGGAAGGTCGAGGGGAGAGCCTTAAGCGTACGAACTTTGGGCTGAAATATGAGTCACAATCAGTAGAAAAGCGATTTTTTTTTCAGGAGCTCAATCGAAGCCACCGTAGCTAATCGGATCTAGCAACACGGTTTGGTTGCTCGAAAGAATGTTCACGTCTGCTCGCGCCACTCCCACGCCACTTTATACCGAAAAATGGGGGTTGTGTGCATGTCTATACAGGCTAGAACTTGGTCAGCCTCATTGGGCGACGGCTCTCCCAGCTGTAATTGAGAAATTTAGCCAGTGCAGTACAACCGCAAGCCTGGAGTATTTAACGTGCACCATGCACTAGTGATACACGACAGCACGCCGGTGCAATGCTCATCCAGGTCGAAATGGCCAGGGGTGGAGATTGAACACTTCATACCGAAAAACTAAAAAAATGGTGGAATGTAAAAAAATTATTTGAGATAATTAGTACAAGATACCCAGAAATGTAATTAAAATAGATTATCAGATACTCTGGACCAAAAGTATTTGCAAGATACTAAGACACTTCAAAAAGTATTTGAAATACAGCACCTTGAGTAGAGTATTTGAGGTAGGCACAAGTCTGGCTCTGCTGCAGGAGAGACTTTACCATCATGCCGATGTTTCAGTTCCTCAAGTACCGAAAGCCTGCCTAGGCCTATCTAAAAAAAATCGAGAGTGCCTACCATGAAGTCTCGGTGTCTATCAAGTCACTCACTTGAGTACCAAGTCGACGCCGCGTGAGTTAAATTCCCGGGCCCCAACGAATCGTCGTGGTCGATCCAGACGGGACTTGCTGTTTCTTCTGTGTCAAATGTTTGTCCAAGTGCTCCCGCTTGATATGTTGCGTTCCGGAAAGAAATATCACAAAGACACATTGGTTGCGATTCACGAAGGTAAGCGTCTGACGTGCCCACATGGCTGCTCTAGAGGGGCTGGCCTTTTATTGGAGATATATGTGACAATGTAAGTGGCGCTAGGAGCCATACAAAACGAAACATAACTCCGCTCATTTTAATCTAAACGACGGTCAATTAATCAGAGTGCTATCAAAAAGTTGTCCCGAATTGCAACGTGACCAGGCATGAGGCAGGATGTAACGAGATATGCACGTAGCTGCAGGGTATGCCAGAAGGCGCAACCGCGAGGTGGTAACTCACCAGATTTAATGCAGTCGGTCGAAAGCGAATACCCCTGGGAGCATGCAACGACAGTCCTTTTCCCGTAGTCCACGCGGCAATCATTATTAACTAATAGTGACCGACCATCTTCCCTGAGTGGTTCGAAATGTTTCTTTTGCACACGATATACCCTAGAAAAATCGGGGACCCTCTTCTTCAGACTTCAGCCTTAACCTGAAGCTAATGCTTGTAGCGCATAAGGAGCGAAAGAAAGACTGGGACACAAAACTTGCAGAAATGGCATTCGGTACCAGCACGACAATCAGTCGGTCCACGGCTTTTACTCCGGTTCAACATAAATTTTGAAAAGAGCTAGCATTTTCCCTGGGAGATGGCCTCCTTCGCACATATCCAGCAAGTATGCAGCGAATCACTACGCAGTTCGCAGAAGATCTCTGGAAGCGTTTCACAGAGAACTTACGGGAAGCTCGAGAGAGCCTTGATGTCTCCGAGTCTGCAGCAGCCAACCAGTACAACAAGGGGAGGCGAAATCTGCAGTTTAAGGTAGGAGCTCTGCTGCTGAGGCGAGCTCATCCTCTGAGGGATGCTGCTAGAGGCTTCTTTGCCTCTTTAGCAAAGATATAGGAGGGCCCCTGCCACGTTAGCAAGAAGCACTTTAACCAGTCTTACGAGCTGATGCATCGCGAATCTAGTGAAGTGTGCGAGTCCATTCGTGTCTCCGACCTAAAAGCTTTCTATGTGCCCCAAAACGTTGAAATGTCGCAAGCTTCAGATGGGAACGATCCGGACCACCTCACGGAAGATTCCACACAGTCTCTGCCATAATACAACCTGTGACGGCGAAAGAGGAAGCACGATCCCAAAGTGATAGTGATAATGATATTGATTGGGATAGTTATATATATTCATTTCGGCCCAGCAGAGCCGCGGCGCCGCAGAACGGCAAGTCGCCCATACAGCGAAGACCCGCGGCGCCATGTCCAAGGATGTTGAGATGGTATTCTACAGATCAATTCTAAAGGAAACGGTGATGATGGTTGGAATGGAGCTTGAATACGAGGGTGAGGGATTGATCTCGTGGTTGAAGTGGGTGAAGAGTTATGCCTGCAGCTGTCTTCGCGACGGTGGTCTTCGCGGGGCCGCCATGGGCTGCTGACGTCAAGCCGGTTGGTCTCGAGCGCCTGGCGAGGGCTCCCCGCGTGTACGGCTTGCAGACGAGCCAGCTGAATTTTCCGGCGTCGCAGGGGGTCCAGCGCCCCCGTGTGGGGGCTCCAGGGGTTGGCGCCGGTGTTGGCCGGGCGCCGGTGTTGGCCGGGTGGCGGTCTTCGCGAAAGCGGGCCTCGAAGTCTCCCAGCTTGCAGTCGAGCCTTGTAACCGAGCATCGTAAGCACCCTATCAATCGAGGACATGGCGTGCCACTGGTCTGCCTGGCTCTTTTACGATGGGAAAAAGACGCCTTACGTCCCGCTTGCCTCCTCTTCCTCTAAATATATTCGTGTATTGCACTTGGGCCGGCGCCGTTCTTGGGCGCGACCACTTATTCCTGCAGCGTCATTGCCTTACTCTGTTGTAATTTTAATGCCTCGTGCCCAAGACGTAGCGGCGGCCACACAGCCCGCATCATCAGGCCCTCCACAGCCGCATCTGTATACCGTTCGGAAGTTCTGACGTCGGGCCCGCGCTCGCCCGCCTGCGAAGAAGCAACCTTGGGTGATCCGGAATGAAGGCCACCCAAAAACCTTCTAAACCTAATGTCCCTGAATAAAAAAGGTAGCGACATATTCTCCCTCCTCCTCTGACGCGCACACCCTTTGTCTTCATGTTTTGCTTTTTTACACCCGCGCTCGAACCTTCTACTGCAAAGCCGCCCGTACCGTCGACTGTAGCGCCGCCTGGTTTGGCCCAAGATAGCAGACGGTTTTACTATACTTGAGTCAGAGCGCAGTCAAAGGCCTGAAAGATACTCAACGCAAATACATACACACTGGCTAAAAAGCGCACTGTCACCGTCTACCAGCCTCAAAGAATGTGCTTAAAGAAAGACGATGAAAGCCGTGACGTCACACAGTTGGCGTTATTTGATTGGCGACTTGAGCTCATAGCATGCACTGCACTCCGACAGCATAGGCACTCCTTCTGCCTCCTGCTCTGACGCGCACACCTTTTATCTTCATGTTTTGCTTTTTTACACTCGCGGTCGACTGTAGCGCCGCTTGCATCGGTCCAAGATAGCAGGCGGCAAACCTTCAAAGGATGGCGCTACTTTTCCGTATAAAGGGGCTTTATGCAAACCGTCCCCCGCCCCCCTTTTTCTTTTCTTTTTTTGAAGGGGGAGTTTTGTGGGAAGCTTAGTTGATCCATTGCGTTGTACCAG